CCCCAAAACCCCAAAACCCCATTCTTCAAATTTCTAGTGTAAATCTAAAAATGTAATAGTTTTATTTGAAAATATAAAATCGTGTGAGCGAGTTATTAAATATTATAAAAGTATTTTGTTATAAAATAAGAAATTTTGCATGAAAAACTCTAAGAGTTAGTGCTCTCGAATATATAAAATCTAGAATGTTATTTTGGCATTTTTCATTCTTGGTAGCTTTATATGTCTATGTCTGAATGGATAAAATCAATATAATTAACAAAAAGAAGGTCCGCTAATGTCGATTCTAATATTTGGAGAGGGGAATAAGCAAGAGTTCGAATCCTCCATTAAAAATGTTCTAGATCAATCATTCAAAGATTATGATGTTCTCATATTAGTTAGAAATAACGAAGAAGTGAATTCAATCAGAAGATTCTTATTAAAACAATACTAAACATTATTTGCAACGTAGGTGAAATATCAATTAACGAAAGATTTGAATGACTTTACTGGAAAAATTGAATATTCTTTGAAAAAAATGAAGGGCTAGTTCATAACCCTATATCATGTAAAAACAATAAGTTTTCCAGAAAGATTCAATAAATTATCAAATGTCTTGAGGAGTCACTAAATATCAGCACTGGTGTCTGATCTTGAGATAAAAAATCACAATAATGATCATCTATCAAATAAATAGCCGATCTTGAGAGACTATAGTCGAAGTCTAAATAATATATTTTTCTCAGTTCAACCAGAGTTAGAGTTTACATTGACTATAAAAAAATAATTTTTAGAAGAAATAATTTAAAATACAAAGTATCTAAATAGATTTGAGATTTTCAAATAAATTCGTTCAAATGGAAACATATTTCAAATACCAGACAAATTAATTAATATAACCTTTGATTCTTATAAGAAAAAGTATACAAATGATTTCGTCTAAGTTCCTCAAAATGATAATAGCATGTACAAACAATATAATAGGTACTTATAGAATAAAAATGTCAATAATTTAACAAATCGTCAATTTTCTCAATTTCTCAATTGTTCATATGACTATCTTGCATGCGATTTATAAACTCAAGAAATAGTTCAATATCTCTTGATAGATTCATATCTTAGACTAGAAAACCCAACATAAGATTTTTTGAAATCTATGAGAGAGAAGATGCTTTAATTAAATCAGAATATTAGACATTAGATGAGGGTAGCTAAGAATCCAGGTTAATATCCTTTAGTATCTGTTGTTATGGCATGTCATGACAGAGACTACTTCTTCTTAGAAGCAGTTAGAAGTGTGTTCTAGTTAACATATACTAATTGGGAATTGCTAATTGTTGATGATGCTTCTCAAAATCCATTAACTTATAGTATTCTATATCTATTAGAATGGCATCCAAAGATAAGAGTCTCATATTTATATACAAATTGGTACTGCAGTTTTACTAATAATTTTGCTCTTGCGTAACTTAAAGGTGATTTTTTTGCACTGCTTGATGATGATGATATTATGGTTGAAGATAGACTAGAGAGATAATTGTCTTATATGCAAAATAATCCGGAGCTAGATCTAATTGGAGCTAATGGTTTGTTTTACAATGAAATTGGCAATTATCTTTACGGGCTGTCTAGTGACTTTTTGAATCATTGGGATGTAAAAATTTCATTAGCTGTGTAATGCCATTTTACTCATAGTACTCTGATGGTGAGAATGAACAAAAA